CTGGACACAGCCCTCGAGGTGGGGCCTCACCAGTGCCCAGTCCAGAGGCACCATCACTGCCCTGCTCCAGCTGGCCACACTGTTCCTGATACAGGCCAGTGTGCTCTTGGCCTTCTTGGCCACCCAGGCATACTGCTGTCTCATGTTCAGCCAACAGGTGACCAACACCCCCAGGTCCTTTTCCTTGGGGCAGTTCCAGCCACTCTGCCCCCAGCCTGGAGCGTCCATGGGGTTGGTGTGACCCAAGGGCAGGAGCTGGCACTTGGCCTTGGTGAACCTCATCCTGTTGGTCTCAGCTCATTGATCCAGCCTGGCCAGATCCCTCTACAAAGCCTTTCTACCCTCCAGCAGGTCGACACTCCCATCTAAATTAGTGTCATCTGCAAACTGACTGAGGGTGCACTTGATCCCCTCATCCAGGTCGTTGATAAAGACATTAAAGAGAACTGGCTCCGATACTGAGCCCTGGGTGACACCAAATAATGGTAAGAAAATGTTAAGCTTTTTTTTTTTTTAACTATTATTTTTGACAGCACTGTGTAGAACAATACATAAATGAGGAGGAGAAAGAGAGCAGTAAGTCCAATCCTCACGCAATTCTATGCGTTTTAATGGGCTCCCTCCCCATGCCTGTCCTCAGCGACTGATGAAGCCCCTGCGCTGCGGAAGATGAGTGAAAAAGAAGTAGGAACTGACTTTTTTCTTGTTTTCATAAACAGGGTGGAAAAAGGAGAACACAACTCTCCCCAGCTGGCCTGCACTGGGAATGGCAATGGGTTATTTCTCCTCAGGCGGTCTGCTCGCTCCGAAACGGGATCACACCGGGAATTAATGACTCTTCCCACTGCCAGGAGCGGTATCAGTAACTGTGACTGTTAGTACTAAATCACCCCTCTTGCTAACCTGGCCTTTTCCCTGCTCCTTCTATACCCAGACCCCAACAACTGTTTTACCAAACCAGATCTGGTATCCAGACAGATTTTAGAAAGCAGAAGAGAAGCAGGAATTTTGTTTCCTTCAGTTTCCTTTCCATTCATCGGGAATGTCTACACCTTCAGAACCAATACCAGAAGGAAAACCTGCCCTAAGGGAAAACTGCAGTGGACATGATATACAGATGACAGTTGTACAGATGACAGAACCTGATGAACTTCAATAAAGTCAAGTGCAGGGTGCTGTACCTGGGGAGGAATAACCCATGCACCAGTCCAGGTTGGGGGCTGAGCTTCTGGAGAGCAGCTCTGAGGAACAAGACCTGGGAGTCCTGGTGGACAATAGGATGCCCATGAGGCAGCCCTGGGGCCTTGTGGCCCAGAAGGCCAATGGCATCCTGGGAGGGCATCAGGAAGAGTGTGGCCAGCAGGTGGAGGGAGGTCATCCTGCCCCTCTGCTCTGCCCTGGGGAGGCCCCATCTGGAGCACTGGGACCAGTTCTGGGCTCCCCAGTTCAAGGACAGGGAACTGCTGGAGAGGGTACAGCAGAGGGCTATAGAGATTATTAGGGGACTAGAACATCTCTCTGCTGAGGAGAGGTTGAGGGACTTGGGTCGGGAGAAGAGAAGACTGAGGGGGGATCTGATCAATGTCTATAAATACTTAAAGGGTGGGTGTCAGGAGGATGGGGCCAGGCTTTTTTCAGTGGTGCCCAGGGACAGGACAAGAGGTAACGGGCACAAACTGGAACATGGGAAGTTCCACCTAAACATGAGGAGGAACTTCTTTCCTGTGAGGATGGCAGAGCCCTGGAAGAGGCTGCCCAGGGAGGTGGTGGAGTCTCCTTCTCTGGAGACATTCAAACCCACCTGGACACGTTCCTGTGGGACCTGCTCTGGGTGGACCTGCTCTGGCAGGGGGTTGGACTGGATGATCTCCAGAGGTCCCTTCTAACCCCATGGGATTCTGTGGAGAACTGCAGAAGGAGAACAGGTCAGATCCACACACAGGGAGGAAAGGCGTTTTACACGGGTCAGGTTTTCCCAATAGTTTTTTTTCTAAAAAAAAAAAAAAAGCTAAAAAATCCCGTATTTGGTTGAAATGACTGACTGGCTCTCTTTTTGCTGTAGCAGTCTTCTGCTAACCCACAGAACATCCAAAAAACTGCAACCCAAATCAGGGGCACCGTGGCACAGGCACAGCCAGGGTAGTGAGCCAACACTGGGGTCACAAAGAAGCGCACGAAGCATTGAATACTCCCCCAGTCTGCTTTAATGCCACATACAACAAACAATTTCAAACTGCAAATTTTAACTCTCCAGCAGAAGTTTCGTTTTTTTATAAATAAACAGCTTTGTGGGTTTTTTTCAATAGCCCACCAGGAGTCTCCTTTCACTGAAGGAAGTTTGACTTTCCTTTTCACAGAACGTATAAATGCTCTGACTTAAAAATTGTTTGAATTCCATTTTTTTGGCTAGATTCAGTGAAGGATGAGTATTTCCTCTGACCTAAGCAGCACAGGTAGTGATCTAGCTCCCAGGAATTTTAATCAAGATTATGCCTGGAATAAATTGAACATAAAAAAACCAAACCAAGCCAAACAAACAAAAAACCCAACTGTAACAGAAGGAAAAAGCCTAACAAAAACAAAATCAGAAGTGGTGTTTAAAGCACTGTTTATGCACAAAACAGATAAAATGTACAGCTGCAGTGCGCTGGGTTTTTCATGAGACTTTAGCTTCTTCTTCAGGGTGCACAGGGGAAGCAGTGTTTGAAGTACAGACTCAGAATTTGGCCAAAATAATTTTTTGCAAGTAGATGAACCATATGGAATCAACACAGCTCATGAACACAGCCCATGCCGTAGAGCTCTGCGCTGCTGTAACTTAACTTCACATTACCAAACAGGCAGGCTTCAAGTATGTAAATTTTAAAAAGTAAAATACAGTTCCATAATCTGTAAAATCAAATACGTTTACAAGAAGTACAATTTTACAGACTCTAGAGAGCTAAAAAAAAGTATTCTTAGGAACTTTCATAATGATATCTTTAAAAAATTTTAATATTCTGTTTTTTCTCAGCTCTCAGGAGTGTAAGAAAAACACTTCCTTGAAGAATAAGGATCTCAATTAGGGCACTTTCTCAATTACCTAATAGCATTATACACTTATTTCCAGATATTTTTTTTAAATCTGCAAATGATGTCTTAGTTGATATTGATCATCCTGCACCCCAGACAACAGCAGTTCTTTTGAAGGAATTATTTGTAAATTAAAGATTTTTTTCATTTGTTTTTCTGACAGCAGACCTAAGATTTGTAACTCTGGAACAGCCCCACAACTCAAATGAGCTCCTGTGGTTTTAGCTGAGATACTTCTGTATGTGAATGACGCACACATAACAGTCCATGTAACTGATGTTGCACATGCTTTACATCTTTAAGTAAAATTATTACTTCAGATGAGATAAAAGTAGAAAAATGCAATATCTAAATTCATACACTCACTATTTGTCAAATCTTTTGATACGCCCCTCTGCAAAAACGGCAACTACTAAAATGTTGTCAAATGACCATAACAAAGGAGAGCATGGATCAATAATTCATTTGGACAGCTCTGAAGAATTCCCAACCATCGTGTTTCACCATTCTTTCAGGATTATCAACACCCTCAGTTGTGCCAATTAGAAACCTGAAGTATGGGAAAGCTCTTGATTAGTTTTACAAACTGTCATCCCAACACGTTCAGCACATCAGGAGTTAGTGCATCACCCGTACGATGCGAACCAGCTCCGTCCTTCCTCATCCTCACAGCTCCTCATCAGCTCCTCACAACTTTGAGCACTTCAGGTGTTCCAGGAGAAGTAAGAGGAACCATTTGAGAATCAAAATACTGCACTTTACCATTTCACCAAGTACTTCTGATTCACAAATGTCAAAAAGAGATTGAGCTGTCCCATACCACAGAAGCTGTGTGAAAACCCCATGTATAACCCAAAACTTAGGAACTCTGCTTTTTTTTTTTAAAAGGTTAAAAATGCCCTGTAAATATTTGTCAGTCAGTGCTATATAAAGCACTGTCTATTACTAAACTTCTATTTAAATTTGTGTGCTACTGTGCTAGAAAAGTAAATTTCTTTACAAAATAACTGAAATGACCCCATAATTTATATTTCTTACTTTAACACCATTACATGAGATATCTCAAAAAAAAGCAGATATACCAAGTCAGCTCAAGCCTTTGAGACATTTTAATGCCATTTTTAATTATGCAAATACTAAGGAGCCTGAAAACTCAAAAGCAGTATGGCTGCGTTAGCCAAGAACGGTCAGAAAACTGCCAAGAAACTACACCATTTTCTTTATCTTTTTGGAGACACGTAGAGGAAACAGGTAAAAATGAACCGTATTCTACTACAGTAGAAATCCCAGTCTTCCCCTAGAAGAAAAGAGTGCACACTGCTCCTTTTTATCACTCACATGACCCCTAAGAGGAGAAAAGCCAGACACTGAATTTGCCTGAAAAGGCATCTAAAGAGCTGTATAAAGTGGAAACTCTTAACAATTCCTTGATGACTCTACTGGTGGAACCCCTGGCTGCAACTGCCATCCGTGCCCGTCCAGCAACCAGGGGAACTTCTCTTTGAGAAGCACCACTCTGGAAACTCCCACACAAAACCCACCACCATTACAGTAGCATGTAACAGGAAAATGAAAGTTACCCTTTGGTGTGGATTCTTGGTTAACAAGTGAGCTTTAAGGGAACTGTTTATACATGTGAAATTAAAGGTTTTAGAGGAAGAATCAGGACACGTTTGCCACTTACTAGATGACTTCAAGACAGTCCATAATGCTATAACAAAGTTGAAAGAGGTTTAATGATTACAACAAGAGCTCAACTGTTTCATGATTTTGATTTGATGAAACACAAAACAATGTCATTAAAACACAGTTTGGAGGGGAACAAATCCTGTGCCAAGTCCTAGATGGCATATTTGGTAAAACATCATAGTTTAAAAAAAAAAAAAGAAAAACCCCCAAAAGTCAGAAGACCACATGCTAAAAGTTACCTTACTTGATCTTTTCCAACTCTTCCTCATTAGCATTGTCTGAAAATAAAATAGAGCATTTTAATTACCTTTTCTCTGCAAATACAGAAAAGGAGGCCAACTGTCTCCAACGGGACAATCCACATTCAACCACCACTAGAACTGAAGCAGCGACACGAACACTCCAGCAACACCTACACGAGACTGAAATAAACCCAAACAACCAGCAGCGCCGTCGGCACCCGGGCACGCTCTCCCGGGGGGCAGGAAGGTCTCATTTCCAGAGACCATGCATTACATGGAATGGTTTAAAAAAAAAAAAAAAAAAAAGAAAGAAAGAAAGAATTGGATAAGCAAATGGAAAAAAAATAATGTGCCATTACTGGTCGTGACTTCCATTTTGACTGATACTTGAATGATAGCTCTTTTAAAATTAGTGTACTCCAATTTTTCTGAACACTGCTGTTCAGCTCACAGGTGGAGCCACCTAAGAGAAACCCTGCATAAGGCTCCTTGGACAACACACATCTGTTAAAAACTCTTCAAGGTTACCACTGCTAATTAGTTTCACAGCAGTAAAAATAGCTCTTTTGATTTATAATTATGCACAAGAGATAGAATTATATTCCTACCTTGACTCTTAAAAAAACCCCAAAATGCAATAGCCCTATCCCATTACCTAAATAATCTAAATCCTTGCTGCAGCCAATGCTCCACCACGTCGGGAGGCAAAGTGTCCACAGACACAGAATCTTAATCATTAAATAACAGAGACACCCTGGTCAAGATGGATGTGGACAATTTATCTGTGAACACAACTGTGGCTTTAAGCAGCTCTGTGGAAACACGGGGAAATTAATTTCTACAGTTTAATAGCATTTAGCAGCCTCTTGCTGACACTTCGCAAGAATAAATCACAGGTCGTTAATTTCTACCAAAACTTTATATCATAAAAACAAACTTTCTTTTTAATTAATTCTTGCAAAAAAACTTTCTTTTTCAGCTAAAGGCAATAAATTTTGAAATGCAAACATTTTCCTTGCTAAGAAGTAAAAGTACCACACGGGGAGAAAATGAAACTGTGAGCAAATGTGTGGGTTTTATATTTTTGAAATATCCAAAAAACTTTTCAAATAAGCACAGTTTTTTGGGAGAAGAAAAACAACCGAGGAAAGCTTTTTAAGTTGCTGTGGGCAGTTAAAGCCTAAAGCCTCTGTGGTAAGTTAATGATAATTGTAGCACTGTGGCTTTGGAAAATATACATGGACACTTAAGGTTTTGTGAAGCTGGAGGAAGCCATTTAGCTCATTTTTATGGGAGAGGCACGTAAGAATTAAGCAGCTTGAGCCCGGCAGCAGTCCCTGGAGAAGACCTCCGAGCTCCTGCTGCACCCCAGCTCCAACTTGTCCTACACAGCTACAAGTCAGGGCAGAAACTCAGCTCCACGGGGCTCTGGAGCAGGCTGTGAGCAAGGAGGAGAATACAGCCCCACGGACAATTTTACTGCCTATCAAATGTTATTTCAGCTCTGATGGGTTCACTGTCAGCAGCAGGTCCAGGAACTGTAGTGACCGTGCTCGTGGAGTGCACCAGCATCTCCACCAGCTGCAGCAGGACACGCTGAAGCCACCATCACCATCCTCAGAAGCCACAGGGCAGGTCGGGATGGGTGACCTCCATGGAAGTCTTCCACCTGAAAACGTTCCATGCCCTGACTCCATCTCTGTCATTCTTTTTTCCCCTAAGTTGTCATTATCTCTCTGGCAAATTAAAAAAATATGTAAGATTTAGGAGGGCAAGCGTATTAATGTTGTTAGTATTTTTGTGTGAAGCAAAATGGATTAAGCGTGACTTGGGGTAAATTATTTAAGGGAAAAACAACGCTGTGAATTTTATTCTCATTAAATAACAACACCCAAGCAGCACTCATACGTCTCCTTTTTCCCCGTTTTCTGTGCTACTCAGGTGGTGGAACAGGAGTCCTCAATCTCTGCTGGCCCCGAGGCCGGGGAGAGATGGGAGAGGAGCAGCTCTGACCAATTCACAGCCGCGCCACCAGTGACGAAAATCTGCGCTTTCAGCCAAAAAAACACCAAGCCAGAAAACACTCACATGCGCCGCGGCAGCGGGTATTGCAGCAGCACAGAGGGACCTGCAGGCATCTCAGGGGCTTTCTGAGGGACATGCAAGGGGCTGGAAAGGGCACACAGACATGCACAGAGTCGCGTGTCTCCAGCAGGAAACGCTGACAGAATTCTGTCTGAATTACAGAAACGAAACAAACACCACGGGAGCAGGGCTAAGAGAAAACATCAAGCCATTGATAGTTCTGACTTCTTTTAAAGTGGTCATCTAAGGGAGAAATCGGTGAAAAATACAGAACGTTCATCATAAACATTATTTTTTAGAAGAAGAGTTAACAGAAAATTCTTTCAGAGCTCACAGGTTTCAACATTTTTATATACACACACTTTTCCCATGCTTATTTACTTCAGGTCTTCTCAGTTTACACAAGTTATGTAAGCTATGTGTCCTCTCAAAGCAAATTAATTAAAAATGCTGCATTAACGTAAAGGACAGGTACTGTTAACAGCACAAATGAATTATTGGAACTAGTGCTAGTACAATTTAATTGTGTTAGGCTGGAAATAGATTATACTTTTCATGAATACTAAAGACATTCTTATTTTCACGGCTGTAGAAGAATAATTCATTCATCAACTTTGATTCACAATTTATGAGTCTTCAAAAATCAGAACAAATCAGATTGCCTTCCTTTGTCAAAACTTAAAAGAATAGGACTTCTAATCGGGTACATAGTCTGAATGTAGAATTACAAGATTATCACTTTAAAAGTTCACATTTTTATGCTATTAGAACAAGCATGATGTTGGAAAAGGCAAAGATACTTAAACACAAGATTTGCGAAAAATTTTGACTTGTCCACCTGCCCACATCAATATTCAATGATAACCAGGTTCTATTTCTGCATTTTCTTCCCACAAAACACACTACAGAAATCAAATAGTGTGTTCTTGTTTTGAAACTAGTATACTGAATCTCCTTGAATTCAAATCATGACCAATATTCTACCAGAAAGACACAAATTGTAAACTACACAAGCACTGTTTCCACAATCCTCCAGGACTCAAAGATAAACACTCCCCTCTCCTACTCTGTAATATAATTTTATATACAGTTACGCAAACATAGGCATAGGTTAATATCCTTAATTGATATGTGAACTCAGAGATGTAATCAGTTTTTCGTATTAGGGAATGGGACCTTCTAGCTGTAAACATCTCATCAGTCAGCACATGGAAAAATCTGTATTTCAGCAGAATTTCTTTCAGAGAGATAAGGAGGAGGATGCTCCTGTGTGTACCAAATCTCTCTCTCATCTTGTACACCTCAGGGCCTCACAAAACACACGCTGACTCAAACCAAAATAAACCATTACTCTTTCAAACCGATTTCTTATTTTTTAAACCATTGGTAATAATGTCCCCCTCACAGACAAGTGGCAATATGCAATAAGGCCACCCATTTTGTACCGTTTAACTTCCAACTTCACTCTTACCCTCTGGCACAGGTGTGAACGTTTCAATATTCAGTATTTCTTACGCAGTGTCACTGGATGCATCTCGCTGTAGTACACAGCTACATCATTTTGGTGTGCCAACAAAACGCTCTGCGACAAGACCTGCCCTCAAGCTACAGAAATGCATTTACCAAAAGACCTTCCCTTTACCTGCACCTCAATGCATGGCCTCCAAACCACCGTGGGTGGCTCAGGTCTCCTTGGGAAGTCTTATCCTCATGAAACCCTTACCCAACAGCACTTCACAAACAGCAGGTCTTGTTGAAGGGTTTGGGTGAAGGCTGTAGAGTCGCCCAAAACACCAGCCCGGGCACCATGCACCCTCTGCGGCCACGCAGAAAAGCTGATGCTTCTTTCATTAAAGCTGCTCCTCCTTTGATTTCCCCATCGGTCGGTCTTAACAAACACTCTCATTTTGAGTATATGTTGTTAAAGTACCCAAAATTTAAGTAGTAGCAGTTAATTTCTGAATTCTTGAGCTTGATGATTTAACCGTTTTACACCATTTACATGTTACAGCACGTGCAAGCAATTTAGAGTTACCACTCAAAAAAATTTACACTTATTCAGAAGAAAATGTATTTTTGAAATGTAGGCCATGTAGCAATATAAAACTGTGAGGGGAAGAGAAACAAACTGGAACATGGCCTTCAACACAAAAACCCAGAGGGGAGGGGAGTATCAATAAGGCCAAAGAAACCAGTCTGCTAAATCTGCCAAGTAGATGGTAGCAAAGACTCTGAAATAACGTGTAGCATCATCAACTAATCAAAGGCGTGTTTAGGATAATAATTTCGTAGAATAGGTGTGTGTGTGCCTTATATGGGAAAAAGTGCAAAATAAACCTGTAGTAGGTCAAGCGGTGGGGAAGAATGTGAGCTCCAACTTCTCAGCCCATGAGAAGGGAGACAGAGACTCAAGCGGCCGGGATAAAGGTATAAAATACCTGAAAGATAAAAGATCATCGTGCATCTATTTTTGGTGCACCCGATTCAGCGCTGTTTCGTATTAAGAAATTATTATTTTTTTAACCTTTGCTTCGGTGACTTTGTCCTCTTTAAATTCTAAGATGTGAGTCGGTGTTTCTCACAAAACCACCAGGATTTAAGAAAATTTGCAGCTGAAGAGACAGTGTTTCTACGTCTTCCATGCAGCGGTCATTAAGGCACATTTAAAGGTGCTCACAGGCCTTTATCTAAATATTTTAACTATACTATTTGAATTATTAGCTATATAGAGATGCCCCAGCAGAAGGAAAGCAGTAATCATTCAAACCACACACTAGACAGACCAGGAATGTAGGAGTTGTTTTTTAATTACTACTTTATACCGTGTGTATTTCCAGAGTGGACAAGAATTAGCTTCGATCCTCTAACATAACACTTGAAAATTTATTGATCTCAAGCATATTAAATTCAATAAAAATTATCCTCATTATTAGAAGACCTTTCTATAAACAACCAGGGATGACAGTTTAATTGGAGTGATACATTTTGTAATATATCTACTCCATTGAGAGTAAATAAAATCTGATAGGTAAATGAATAAATAATTGTATGTGGTAACCGAATAAAAGATAATTGTGCCTTGAATTATTAAACCCCTAATACATTCATATACAGCAATTCAATATTAATTTTGTAGGTCATCTTCCCTGCACTGCAACACAATCTCTCCAATTTTACTGCAACTCTGTTAGAACCTATCTGAGATCTGTATTGTGGGAAGACTGGTTTCTGAAATACAAATATAAAGCTTCAGAGTCTTTATCTGAATCTTGGGTGTTCTCAGAATGAAGTCCCATGTAACAGTTTGAATGGGAAGAAAACATTGGTCACGTGAGCTAAATTAAAAGGATTAGCTTACTAAATAGAAAGCTAATAGTGAAATGTGTAATAGCACAAACCAAATTCTTCCTCCCATTAGAACCAGCCAGTTGAACATGAAAAAAAGTTGTTACCCAGCAAGTCCATTACTTTTGATGTTGAGTTGCTAATTCACCAAGTAAATACCCATAATGAAAGACATGTTCTGCTGTAGTGTCTTAATTTAATTAATTTTCTCACCGGTGATTTTCTGGAGCACTCATTGTATTACAGCTGATAGCACCGGGCGGCACAGTAGCTATCCTAAAAAAGGAAACTTTCCCTAAAAAGGAAACTAACCTGCTGTCCACCTAACATTTTCCCACATAACAATATAGTATTTCTGTGCTGCTTGATTTGGGATTATGGCAGGATAACACCAAAGCCCCTTGGAAAAAACGGGGCTATTACCAGCTGACTCAGAAATGCTGGTCTTACCCAAACACACACCAAAAAAAACCCCCAAAAAACTGGTATGAAACACATTTTTCAATTGCAGAGATAAAGGATTTTGTGGTGCAAATTTGCAAGATATTCTGAGTTCTCTGGACAAAATGTATTGCCTAAAGAAAGAAAAAACTACTCTGTTTAAATAAACTTCCTCCACATTACTACCAATTTCCATTATTTTGGTTAAGTTCTAACAGAACTTCATGAAGAAAACCAACAGATGAGAAACATATTGTCAAGATTTTACACCTCTGTCACACCAAACACCTAGTTCCAATAACTGACTTACCAGGGTATTTAACAATAGCTAGGAGAAAAGTGGGAAAAGAACAGTATTACCATCCTCCAACATTCCTCAGGGATGCAACAGGACAATGGGTCGCACTGCACCATACAGAAACGTATGTGCTCTTACAATGACCATAAAGTTGACCATATCCATGGAAAACTTGATCAGATTAGTATTATTTTTTTCTTCGCCTCTCTGAATCCAAAGGAATCCGCATTATTTTACAGCCTCTGAGCAAGATGTGCAATTTATTTCTGATTTCTGCCCTATTTGTAAGTACCACTGTTCAAGTCAAAAGTCAGCTGACAAAAAGCTGATAAAATACATCCAACTAACAGGATCTATAAAACTGGAAACTACTTTCACTTATGACTAAGTAGCTCAGATAACTAAGACTGATGAAGGAATTCAAATAAATGTAGAAAACCACACAATTTTGTAATTGAAATCTGGTCATGAAATTGGAAAATATCAAAACATACTTCACCACTAAATGCCAAAAAGCAGAAAAAATACCTTTCTTCAAGTTTCTTTATTTTCAGTGTGGAACAGGATTCAAATGTTCTCATCTAGAGATGGCAGCACTAGGTCCAAAATTCTTCACCAGCGTTTTACAGATATTTTTCCATATTAATCACCATTCAGCTGCAACTGAGTTCATCTGACACTGCTGAACATTCATGTCCCACCTGGGTCCCTCCGTACTGTCTCAGGGAGGATCCAGGTCAGATGAAGTACGCTGTACTACACCAGCATTATTTTAAGAATCAGAAAAAATCAAAGTAATCTCAGAACATGTGGTTTAGTCTTGTGCTTTACATCATCCAACCCTAGAACAGTCTTAAGAGTGATAACACATATTAAAATATTTACAATTACCGCTTCTCGCTGTTCTTCTCGAGGAGCCAACAGAACTGATAACAATATACTTCCCAGATCATGGTCGGGGTAGTGAGAATCCTTCAGACTCAAAGTAACATCTGTTTGCCTAGGAGACAAAAATATATGCATTTATTTCGATTTCAGGGTCTCAGATAATGAAAATTCTGAATCATGAGAATTAAAGGCATCTGCATTTACAGGAATCTACTTGAAAATGGTGTCATAAATTTACCCTATTTCTAAGTATAGCAGTCAAAAAACCCATAAATAAGTACTAAATACTGTTACTCCCTGTTAAGTACTTATCCATACTGAAGAACTGTAACATGAACAGATTAAAAAACAGGAAGAAAAGAAGTTAAACAGTAGGTGGTAATGCTGTGAATGAAGATAACATAAAAACAAGACTAAAGTGGTTATAAAACTAACCTCTGTATAAACGCTGTAGAAAATGTTAAGCATGATCACTTAATATATTATTAACATTAATATTACAGTAATTCCCTAAACATAAAGTGTTTTTCCTCAGTGAGTTTTATGAAGTTTAGGTTTATATAATTCTTTTCCAGCATAATGTTCTATTTGCAATTCCACAAACAGTATATTAGCACACAACCATTAAAAACTACTCCGTAGGTCTGTTTGTGCCATACCTATTTAATTCCAATGAAGTGAGATCCAAAAATGCTGAACCAATAAAGTCATCTTGAAGTCCAAAGTCATAGTCAAAGACCTAAAATGCACAGGAGATAAATGCATTTTTCAGTATCGGAATTTTTTTTTTTTTCACGTTTTCTTGGTTTATGAATGGTTCTTGCAACTCCTTTTCCAGATTTAAGCCACGTGCTTCTCACATGTCAAACCAAGGCTATCAGAAAGTAGCCTCCAACTTTCTGTCCACAAAATGTGGCTGAAACTGCTTATTTTAAAAGTCAGAACACATCATGTACAGGCACAGGGGTATATTTCTACTACTAGATCGCATATGTGAGCAATAGCAATTTTAAAAAAAAAAAAAAAAGAAGCATTTTTATCAGCTCAGGCATTAGAAGAGGGAACACCAAAAGAATAACTAAAGTTAAGCAGAATCACTGATTTCCTATACATTAATTGATACCCTTATCAATTTTGCAAAATACAGGCAGGAGGGTGGGACACAGTTGTGAAAAGTGGGTTATTACTCGCATCAGCATTAGAAATTATAAAATTGTAGGTTTTGTAGGTTGTATAAGTTTCTAGGCTTTAAAAAGATTATAATCTAAGATGAAAACTTAATGGATATGTGTAAGGAAAGAGTTACATTTATCACTCTGCTATAAGGACCTTGCCTGTGAACTTGCTATCTAAAAAAAGAAGCATCTGGACAAATTTACTGACATCCAGGCAGGGATCTGTGGCCAGAGCATGGAATGGTATCAATGACTTGAGATGGGTTATGCCCTCCCAAGTCAGAAGGATGAATAACAAATAAACTGGGGACGGCTTCTGGAGGGAAATAGACAAAAAAGGTGGATGGCAACGTGGAAAAGGTTTGACAAAAAATTAATTACAAAAGCAAAAAATGGGAAAATCTCTATTACCAAAATCAAATTTTCTAGGTAAGTTAAATTTTCCTGTCAAATATCATAATGAGAATTTCTGAGGACCAGAATATAGTCTGACCAGAGAAGGGCTTGTGAACAACCACTAATGTCAACATTTAACTGAGATGGGACAAACCTAGATTTGAGGTCTTTGTTTTTGGTAAAAACACTTCAACTGTTATATTACAGGAACTCCTTTCCAGGAGGCAGCTAAAGCTGCTCATCTTCTACAAACACCTCAATATGGACTGAGCTGACAGCAGTAACAGAAATCCCAAAGCTGCTCAGGAATCAAGGGGCTGAACGCAGAATTTGAGCACGAGTCTCTCCCTGCATTGACCCACCCGAGTGGGTACCCTCATATTTTCTCTGTCTAACACTCATTCTAAAGGGGAAAGAAAACAAATGGTGAGAACTCAGCTCGTGTTGCAAAACAGAATTGTTTTCTCCCCCTGCAAATTACCAAGATGAAAACGTCAGGCAAATATTTTCATCTGACTTAGTACAACTTAATCACGTCTTAGAATATCTGGACAAGCGATAAAAACTGAATTATCCTGCACGGTGTGCTCAGAGTATAAGCTTGGATAGATATTATACCACTTCACACACACTTCTTGGGAAAAAAAAAAGTAATAAAATACAGACACTTATTCCCTTGTGGCCCAATTGCAGGATTGGTATTTGGCATGACTGCATCCAAACAGGGAGCTCTGTTGTGAGTGTCCTTCTTTGAATCTGCCTCCCTCGTCCAGTGCTGGGCACATGTTCCTTCCCTACGAGTCACTGAGCTTAACAAGGGCAGGAAAATGCCAACTAAGAATTCATATTAAATTTATGCTCTCTAATAATGATGTACGTTATCTGAGCAGAACACATGAAGGATAGTAGAGACTGATATTCAGGGGCTGTTTGGGTGGTATTCGTCTACTAAAGAAAAAAATCGACAATTTCGTTTTTCAGTTGAAATTTTTGTCATGTATTTGAGATTCAGACTGATACTGATCTGAAGCATGATATCATTTCAGATCAATTAAAAGGACTGCCTGGATAAGACTTAAGTTTCCAATCTCCCTCAAAGTACTTTTGACCTATGTATGTTCTAATTAGAACCCTGAGACTACAGTTTTTCCAATACCATTTTTAGAACTTAATTTTTATCTACTTTGTTTTACACAATTAAGGATAACTTTTGAATATAGATGACCATAAACTATTGGGACCAGAAAAGTGCCTTTCCATTCTGTGACTATGAAACAATAATCACAGCTTTTCTAGTTTCTATGCCAATATGGATAGCTAATAATTACTAGTGGCATTGCTGCTAATTACTCTGGGCACTGCTGGCCTCTCTTTGATTTAAACTCAAGCTTTTTGTTATTTTGGAATAAGTGATGCCTCTATTATGACAAAATCATCCTCACTTGTGAGATACTAAGCAGAGTTACAAAGTAAATTAAAAAAGAGTATGAAACATTATGAAACTTATAAGCAAACCCTCTGTGTTAAAGTAGAAAAAATCAAAAACTAGCAGAATTGGGTACACGTCTTGATAAATTCTCAAATTAGTCTCAGCAAAGAATTATTTTTAATTAGATAGATTATGCTTCATATCAGAATTACACAATGACATTTCCATAAATAAAAGGGATGCCATCATCATGAAACACATTTTACTTTCTGTGTCCTCCTAAGATTACACTTAAGAAGTATAGAACAATTATGGCCTGAAATAAACAAAAATCTGTATTTATCTGGTTTTTTTGGGGGGGCCAATTTTGACATCATCATTATACAGATGTAATTTACATAATTTCCACCTCTAGATAGTCATAGTCTTGAGTAATGCACTACTGCACAATAAATTTTCCAGCATACAAAAATTACAAAATATAAACTCTTTCAATAACTCCTCTGTTGTAATTCCAGAGAATTAATTAAGACACAGTCTCACCTTTATGTACAGCGGTTCCCTTGTGTTATCTATAATAATGGAAGCTTTTTCTTCCCACACAGGATTGAGGTTCTTGTGTATTGTCTTACTTCTAAATACTTCTTTTCCTCCAAGTTTGAACTTGACATAGGGGTCACTGGTTCCTGTTAAAGACACATACATACCATTAATTATGTCCTTTTAATGCAGTAAGAGAATGGAGACTGAATTACTTTAAACAGATCTAAATGTAATTTTTACTGATAATTAAATTAAAAACAGCAGCTGAGGACAGAATTTTTTATTGCCACAGTTTGTTGTTTTCTGCAGTGTTTGTTAGTTGGTAACTCACCATGTGAACATCAAATGGGGGCTTGCATCACTTTATATCGTTTGCAATCCATACGGAAAGTCATAGACGAAATACCAGCTACTGAAGTGTAGTTTTCAGTTAACAGAATTAGGTCCTTGTTAGGACCAGGATTTTGACTTAATGCAATCACAAAAATTAGATTATGAAGTTAAAATTGTTTCTGTAACATGTAAATCTAATTATCTAATGCCTTTGAAAAAGGACAGGCTCCACTGACACCACTGCTGTAACGCTTCACAGACTCACAGAGTGATATGGGGTGGGAAGGGACCTCTGGAGACCATCCAGTCCAACCCCCTGCCAGAGCAGGGCCACCCAGAGCAGGTCCCACAGGAACGTGTCCAGGTGGGTTTGAATGTCTCCAGAGAAGGAGACTCCACCACCTCTCGGGGCAGCCTCTTCCAGGGCTCTGCCACCCTCACAGGAAAGAAGTTCCTCCTCATCTTTAGATGGAACTTCCCATGTTCAAGTTTGTGCCCATTTCCTCTTGTCCTGTCACTGGGCACTGCTGAAAAAAGCCTGGCCCCATTCTCCTAACACCCTCCCTTTCAGTATTTATAGGCGTTGATCAGATCCCCCCTCAGCCTTCTCTTCTCCAGACTAAACAGACCCAAGTCCCTCAGCCTGTTTTTGTAACAGAGATCTTCCAGTCTTCTCATCATCCTCACAGCCTCTGCTAGACTCTCTCCAGCAGTTCCTTGTCCTTTTGGAACTGGGGAGCCCAGAACTGGACCCAGTGCTCCAGGTGGGGCCTCCCCAGGGCAGAGCAGAGGGGGAGGATGATGTCCCTTGAGCTGCTGGCCATGCTCTTTTTGATGCACCCTCTTGGCCACAAGGACACATTGCTGGCTCATGGGCATCCTGCTGTCCACCAGGACTCCCAAGTCTTTCATTGAATTTATGGTGTCCAGGCTTTACTCTTCCATGAAGACATGCTTCCTACAATGCTCACATTGAGCAAATCAACTCTAAGGTCAGTCCCCACAGCTCAGGTGCTTCCTGCAGCGATCACCTCCCCACAGAAGAGCACAGGTCTAAGCCCCTGATACAAGTGAATAACCATTAATGATGACCACAAAGACAACCCTGAAGGAAATGGAAAGAAAAATGTTAAATCATGGCACAAACCAAGAATGGATGGGATGTGCGTGTGGAAGTGTCGGAAGGAGCAACTGGTGGAAGGAGGACCCTTGGGGTGGCACACGCTGGGCACATAAAGACTAGCAGCCACCCAGGAGCACATCTTGGTCCTCTTCTCAAGACACCCACATGAGGAGACAAAGGACAGTACACAAAAACCTGACAGAGCACACACAGGCATGACGAGATCAAGAGAGAAATCACTGCCAGCTCCCAGAATGGCACATCCAAAACCAGCACAGAGATGGTCACCCCACTAGAGAAAGCCCCAGGGATGTGAGGAGGACCTGTCTGCTGCCATGCTTTCCCTCCCCACCACACAAGACCCAGATATTGCATCTGTGAATGTGAGCATGTGGGTCTTAGAGTGTGAAGGAAAATCACCACAATCACTTTTGGTTTAGAATAAAACCACTTTTCCCAACCACAAGGTTTCACACCACACTGTGGTGGTACTTCCCACAGTCTGACCCCAGCTCCCAGCACATTGACTTGAGATGACGTTGTGGGAAAGAGAGTGAACCTGGTGGAAGGAAAGTGGCCAAAAAGTGGCCAAAAGCCTCTTCCAGCTGTGCCATTCCCAGCTGGGTGGGCACCTGGGCAGCAGCTACAAGACACAGACGTCGTGCTCACCACAGTCCTTGTGAAACCACTGCCTCCCCGGTGGGCTGAAGAAAGACTACTTGTCTTTTCCTGCATATTATGGTTAAAAAAATACAGCTAAGTCTTTAAACAAAAGAAAAAAGCTGGACAGAAAATACAAACTAATACCTTCCCTAAAATGCCAGTTGGCAAGATTTCATTGTTATGTAGTGAAATTCATTTTAATGAAAAATATTGCATGAGAGTCATATTTCTATTTCTCCCTCAGCTACTTCTGAGCCTTAATAACATCAGTCTGGCTGGTCCATGACTATCTTAAAATAAACAGTAATTCTAGCCCAAATAGTAATTGTATCTTTACAAGCAATAGCAAAATTGTAAGAAAAACTTATTTTTTGTTTTTTTTTTTAAACTTTTAACGCTTTTCACAAGACCGGTGTATTCTAGAGGTTTGTGTTTACACCCATTGGGCAATGCTTTTATTAAACAAAACTGCAAGAAATTCTTCTAAATATAAAGGCGACCAGAGCTCCTTGCACTACCCCATGCGGCCACAAGATGTCAGCACCTTTACCCAAAATTATACATCCCTTCCGAAAAACTGTAGGGATTGAGATCTGTGACCTCAGGTGAGGCAGGGTGAGGGTCATTCCCTTCTGAAATCACTGGGGCAGGATTTCAGTGGCGTAAAAATGCGTAGTCTAGCACAATTAACTTGCTCCCTGGTTATTCAAGTAGTGGTGACGCTTTTTGGGGCAGAGATCACTTATTTGAATTAAGTCGTGAAATCTGAAGAATACTTTGAGCGTGGACACCAACAAATCCACACCAGAAACACAAGCCCTAACTCCCCTGGAAACCATAATTCTCCCACTGGTTTTCCTCACGGTTGCCATGAAGCCCAGATACTGGCTTTTAAGCACCACCTTTTGCTGCGCAAACTTCACAAATCTCAAAAACTCTGGAAATGTGAAGTCAATGCAAAACACTGCTGTAAGACACATACCCAGTGAATAGTTTAGCACCCAGGTGTCAGATAATTTAATATTAATGCATTTTTATGTGTAAATTCAGCAGCAGGGTGGGTCAAACGCTAGTTCCACTTAAAATGCATCGCAAAACCTCAGGGTTTGTATCTTTGTGCTACAAAAGCTGAGAACCACCAAGTTTGCTTTGACACATCTCTGCTTTAAAGCTGAGAACACATTAGGTCCACTTAGTTGAAAGCTCCACACCCTTCAGGGGCTTTTCCCATTCCTTGAAGAGAAACCATCAAATTTCTAAAAATATATGTATAAAGAAAGGCAAGAGTAAAAAAATGAATCCGCTCAGCCATGCAACCATTCAGCAACACCTTCACCCAGTGGGAAGGCAAAAGGAGGAGCAGAAGAGGGACCAAACCATGGTCCTCGCTCAGTTCCTGAACCATGTCAAGCCACCTCTAGTGCAGCTCTGTGCCACAGGGTCCCAATTTTAATACACAATTTCGATTCAATTAACAACCATTTCCATGCAGGTTGTACCATTTTAATATATTAATTGTGCATTCATATTAATATTAGACTATTAATAACACATCAAGGTTACTTCAATATATTATTTAAATATATTATGTAATAACATACTAATATGTGATTTTAATCAACATCAATAATTCAATTCACATATTTCTGCTCTTTCAATGGGAAAAATAAATTCAGTTTACTCGGGACCTCATTGTTCACAGTGATTACAAGTTCGTGATGCAAAACCTGAAAAAGTCAAAGACACCTCAGGCTGACCCTGCAAAAACCTGATATCCATCACAGACATTTGAGTCTCAAGACTTTTCATCGGTTTCCTGCTCACCAAACTATTCAAATGAACCTGACATACTAATTGCACAGATCATTTGCCTGCTCTGTAGCAGCTGAGAACACCTTCATGAGCCGTCACTCGCAAGCTTAAAGCCTACTCTCAAAAAACACCCCAAATCATGAGACACAGGTCTCTTGCTGAAGCACCAACCGTAAAGGCAACAACAAATACAAACTCCTGGCACAGGGTGGCAGCCTCTCTTTTCCTGGGAAACGTCGGGAAACAGACACTGAAAGATGCTGAGGATGTCCAGGAGAGAAAGTCTCCACCATCACTGCCACCAGCCCCGAGAAGGGACCTCTCCTCCTGGCACCGGGGTCTCTGGGCAGACATCTCCTAGAACAGACTCTGCTTTGCAAGTTTAGGACATCAATTAGATCTCATAAGCAGAGAGAAAAGAAGATTACAAGATATTTTGCTGGAGAAATAGTTAAGATGTGTGTTCAAAGGAATGCTAGACTGTTTCTTGAGAAGGAACTGGAGATCTGTGATAGACTGAAAATACAGCAAAGGCACATCTGGCCAGAAAAATTGGCCAATAATTGGTCAGTAATTTTTTTCCAATACAACTGGAATTGTATTGGATAGAATGAAGACGCATTCCCAATAAATTGTGTACATTTACTTAATTGGCTCCCGAGGCTTCACAACAGACTTTTCAATGTGATTAGAGAACCTGTTGAACAGACTTTTTTCCTTAATGAAATCCTACTTGAGATAAACTGCTCACCAAACAAAATTTAACAGTGAACACAGGGGTGAACGCAACCCTGAGACCGAGCTCCCTGAGCCAGAGACTGCTCCCCTGCTCCCCCACAACCGCGAATGAGACAGGAGGAATGAGGCAAAACTCTCCTTATTTTTTGCTGCGTGAATGAAGTCAAACCACCAGCATGTCTGAAAAACCTCAGCTGAAGATCTAACCGCAGCATTTGGTAACCAGACGCTGAAATCCTTAAGGCAAATTTCAAAATTTTAACACTAAAAAGAGAGAACACAGGCTACAAAAAACCACAATATAATACAGACCAACAATCCTGAAAACCTGCACTTTCAGCTGTCGCTTCAGGTAGAGATGTTTTTATACTTCATGTAAGAAGAAGAAAAAAATTACAGTTTTGAAAAATGGTAACTTAGCAACTACATTTATTACACAAACAAATTAACTGATTTAATTAAAACTGTTTAACT